CAGAGTGGGGAGCAGAACAGGCAGATTGACGAAGTACACTGCTGAGGGGAGCAGTGGGCAGGTCAGGAGAGGTCTGGCACGCCATGTGGTCACCTCCGGAGCAGGCAGGAATCAAACTCATGCTGAAATGGCTTTAGCTTCTGAGTGCTGTGCTTTAACCCACTGCGCCACCAGGGAGGGCCTAAATGAGGTTTTAAGTTGTAGGCTAGAAAGACCTCATGGTATGATTTTCTTTGGTATTTGTTTGAAGCACTATGGGGTAGCTGACTCCCCTCCTGTGGTAGTAACCCGGCTCAGCAGGGCTATCACTATTTGCTCCCTCTCCAGGTTTCTGCTGATGTACTCCACCGTCCTGTGCAGCTACTACAACTCAGCCCTGACCACTGCGGTGGTAGGAGCCATCAAGGTAAGTGGAGCAAGCCTTGGAGTGAATGACTGATTGGGGGAGTCGACGGCAAGTCCAGTGTTTGCAATAACATCTGGGTTTGGTTTTATTATTGTTATCATTGCTATGGTAAGATTGTCTTGTCATCCTTACTTCTGATCTCCTAATTCAGAAAACAGGGGTAGATTTACAAAGGAGACAACTAGTGATATTTAGGTTGGGAAGGGATGGTCTGGGAAAATGAAGTTAAAAAATGCTGAAAAAAATCCAAGTTCCTTTGCTCACCAAGAAACTTGATGATCTACAGTTCGTTTTCTGGCCCTATAAGAAAGGGAATCCCCCTTTCATTTGGGAGGGGTTGAAGACCCATTTCAATCTAGGTGCATTTGATGAACAACTCGGGAGTTTAGAGGATAGAGGTGCTAAACCCCAGGGACACTGAACCCCCGAGTATATCTTATAGCTAGCCCTCCAAGTCTATGGATTCAGCATGCAGGGATGAACTGACTGATGTTGGTGGTAGTTTTATCTATGAATGTGGAACTTCATTATGTGTTTATGGCAAAAATAGATATTTGCACATAGGTAGAGCCATGCAAACCTGTGTTTCTGAAGGTTCAGTGGTATATACTCAAGGATAATAAATTTGTAGATTGATCTGTGGGTATGTTTTTTGTTTTGTATACATTCACTTGATTACACTCACATAAATACACAAAGGAGTCAGAGTATTGGGTGTTTTGAATTCTGTTACACAGTTGCCTAGTTTTTCTATTCAGTGATCTCCTGAATGAGGGAGAACTGCTTGCCCGCTTTCATGTAGAAATCTGCCGGCTACCCAGAAGCTTCCTGTAGTAATCTGGACAGAGCAGTGCTTGGAATTTATTCAATATATCTTACTTGCTTAAGTTTAGGATCAAGGTGATTAAACTTTACTATTCAGCAATGGTAAAGGGATGTGTTTTGGCATGTAGATTACAATCCAACTCATATCATTTTCCTGGAAATGGGCATGAATAATGCAGTTTTCCATGATTATGCCACAGTAAACTTCATTTCTTTAAAGGCCATCAACAGTGGGCTTTATTCATTCATTCTGTGCATCCCCATTGTGTACAAGTCTTTGTGCAAAGAAAATAAAATATTTAGTTTCAGATTTCTCTCTCTCTTACGCACACAAACACACACAGGTGCACATATATCTAATCATTACCTTTTACTTTTTTTTTTAAAGATTTATTTATGCTTACAGAACTGGGGTACAGGCCAGAGGTGTGGTGGGTGAGAGGATTCACCAGAAACAGAGTGGGAAGCAGAACAGGCAGATTGACAAAGTACACTGCTGAGGGGAGCATCGGGCGGGTCAGAGAGGTCTGCCATGCTATCCCTGGCCAGGGATCAAACTGGTGCTGCAGTGGCTTTGGAGAGCTTTATAATGCTGTGCTTTAACCCGTTGCACCACCAGGGAGAGCCCACCTTTTACTTTTAAAGTAATTAATTCTCTTTCTCTTTTTTCTTGCAGAATGTATCCATTGCCTACATTGGGATGTTAGTTGGTGGAGATTATATTTTCTCTGTGTTAAACTTTGTAGGATTAAATATTTGGTAAGTGAAAATTTTTAAATGAGCCTGATTTAGTAAAATAAGAATTTTAAATAGTCTAATATATGTGAAAGAAGAGAGGTATTAACATTGCTATTTCTAAGCAAATTCTGCTTAAATGACTCTATTTATTTTTATGATGTACTTATGGGGATGTATTTTTTTTTAAAGATTTATTTATTTGTGCATACAGAACTGGGGTACAGGCAGGAGGCTCAGGGATGACGAGAGGCTTCACCAGAGACAGAGTGGGGAGCAGAACAGGCAGATTGACGAAGTACACTGCGGAGGGGAGCAGTGGGCGGGTCAGGAGAGGTCTGCCACGCCATGTGGTCACCTCCGGGGCAGGCGGGAATTGAACTCATGCGGAAGTGGCTTTAGATTCTCAGTGCTGTGCTTTAACCCGCTGCGCCACCAGGGAGGGAGGCACCCCCTTTTACAAAAGGAAGATAATTACTTTTAGGGGATTTTCTGAGAGGAAAACACAATAATTAAATTCAGATCTTGTCCCCTTAGATTTTCATTAAATACATCCCCAGGGTCCTCCCTGAGAATCTAAAGCCGCTTCCGCATGAGTTCAATTCCCGCCTGCCCCGGAGGTGACCACATGGCGTGGCAGACCTCTCCTGACCCGCCCACTGCTCCCCTCGGCAGTGTACTTCGTCAATCTGCCTGTTCTGCTCCCCACTCTGTCTCTGGTGAAGCCTCTCGTCACCCCTGAGCCTCCTGCCTGTACCCCAGTTCTGTATGCACAAATAAATAAATCTTAAAAAGAAAAAGGGGGGTGCCTCAGTGAATATCAGAAGATATTGGGAAGATTCACAAAGATACTTGTGAAGCATATTAGGATCCCAAGCATGGATATTATTTTCAGACAGTGATATATAGAATTTATTCAGCATTAACCTTTGCTTATCTTCTCTCCAATATTTTATTTAGATTTGATCTATTCTTTTTCTGCTCCAAAAGATTTGTAAATAAGGGAGAGGGTTTTTTTTTTTTTTTCAAGTAGTTCACAACTTCAGGGAAAAACTGTGATCTCAAAAATGTCCATCAAATTAAACTGACTGTATTTATAATGAGGTCAGTAACTGATGATGTATCACCTACAAAATTTACTATTTTAATTGAAGTAGTTATATAAGCTTAAGGTTTGCACCCTTAAAAATCAGCATGTATCTACACTACATTAAGTCCACTATCAGAAGTCTAATGTTACCTTCACCATAGAATTGACCCCTTTAACCTGATTACCCCACCCCTGCCTTCTTCCCACTAATTTAGTTGATAGTCTGAAAATTTACATGTTTTTTATTTAGTTCATTCCTTTGTTTTGTCTGTATTCCACATATGAGTAAGTCATACTGTGTTTATCTTTCTCCGTCTGACTTATTTCATTAAGCAACATGCACTCTAGGTCTGTTATAAATGGCGGGACTTGATCTTTTTCTTTTTTTAATAGCTGAGTCTTATTTCATGGACTAATTCTCACCATTTTTCTCTTTTCAGCATGGCAGGGGGTTTGAGATATTCCTTTTTAACTCTAAGCAGTCAGTTAAAACCGAAACAACCTGTCGAAGATGAAGACATAGAAAACATCCCTCCAGATTTGAAGAGCTAGAATCTTGAGTGAGTTGCGGACTGACCTGGAGCTAAGTGGACAGGGTGAGCGTGGAGGAGGTGCCCAGGCTAGACTGTGAGGTCAGAGCTTTGGAATGTGGGACACCCACTCCCCTGATTTAAGCACAAATAGGAATGTCTGCAAAGTGTGAAGAGAATCTACCTCATTTGCCACCCACCAGGAGCCATGACAAGTGTCTGGCCAAAGCCTTATGAGCCCAAAGTGAATCTTTTCAAAGGAAGCCATTAAGAGAAAGGATTGTTTTCAAGGATAAACTTTTGGCAGGGCGCACGTCCACTGTCCATGCTGCTGCTTGCTGGTGTGGAACCCCCGGTGGTATGGAACCCCTGCTCACAGCAGTTTAAAGGGAGATGTTGTGATGCTATTACTTGGCCTTAATTCAAGATCCCAGCCAAAGCAGTGTCAGGGGGAACATTTTCTCAGTTTCAACAAGCATGTTTTATTTGATTGAAATGAACCATTTAAGTGCCAACAATTAACATTGGTTTAACCTTACATGTTATCTTTCCCAGTCATCAAAGTAAAATAAAAAATAATTTATTTGCATGCTTTGTCCTGTGATATTATTGTACACAGAGGAAAAAGTGGCAAATCAGTTATTGACTCTCCTTTGAAGGGTGATATATCTTGAAGGCTCAGATGGGGAAAAAATTGCAAAATACCTCAGTCTGTGCCACCAATATTGAAGTAGTTTACATTTTTTTCTCATTGCACTCCAGGTTTGTTTTGGGGGTCTTTGAAATTCAGCTTACATGGCTTTTCCCTACATTTGCTACATTTGCTCTCAGGCTTTCCTCCCAGATAAGGTGTGTAGGTTCTCTCTACACACACAAAACACTGTCAAATGTGTGTGTTTTCTCCCCTCACATAAAATAATTCTCCAACTCTCTGAATGCCAACTGGGCATCCTACAATAGGATTCTGACACTAACAACTTAGAAGTGACCTCATACAGGTTAAGGGCTCAGTCCTTTAAGACTTGTCTGTACTTCAGTGGTCAATCCCATGGCCCAGGTTATAACCAGTAGCAGAAGAATCAAGAGGAAAGGTGCAGGGAATTCACCAGAGACAAAGAGGACAGAACAGGCAGGGGTGACAAGACGGGAGGGGTCTGCTAGTTTTGGGTGTGTCCTGACTGATGATCTGAATTAGCATAGTGGATCATCAGTTCTTCAGCTGATGTCCAGGTTTCCATGGCAATTCCGTCCACTCCCTTTATCCATTCAAGCCTCCAAAACTTGCCTGCAGGACAAGGATTAGGGCCTCAGGTTTTCAATTTAGCTATGAATCTAGGACACTGAGGTAGTTAAATGATGAGGAATACCTTATCATATATTTCTTGGTCATTTGCATAGCTTCTTTGGAGAAATGTTTATTCAGCTTCTTTGTTCATTTTTGAATTTTTTTGTTGTTGAATTGTAGTTTTTAAAGTATTTTTTAAATTTAAAAATTATGTTAATGGAAGTAATACTGGTTCACAACATTGTATGTTTCAAGGTCTAGGTTTGTTATAGGGCACCCCAATGTGAATTGGGTTGCCTGTCTGTGGGTCTTCACCCGTGCGCTTACGATTCAATCATATTATGGACACACTTCAAAAGGTTAAATAATGGATTTATTTATAAGGAGAAAGGTAAAGGGATAACCCAGGGAAAGAGGGAGAGAAACAAAGGTTAACTAGGATGTCCTACCAGTTCTGCTGATGTGGACTCCACCGGCACGCTGAAAACCGATTGAGCGCCAAAACGATCAGCTGCGAACCACCAGGCCAAGAGACCCCCAGAGCCCACGTGTCCGGTTTTATCCCCACCTGGCTGCTCAGCTCCGCCCTCATGTCCCTGCGTGCTTCTCCTTGGTACTGATGGGATTTGGAGTTCCAGCATCGAGTGGGGGCGGAGTCCGTGAAACCTGTATCTGTTACAGGTTCACATCTCTACAAATGTATGTTATCACACAACATCTATCACTAGGTTCCAGCTATCTTCCACCTTTGGGTCCCTTCCCCACTTTGCTTCCATCTCCACACCCAACCCCCCTCTTCTGGGTAGCCTCAGTTCTATAGTCAGATTTCAAGCACTTGTTTCTGTCTGTCCCTTTGCTTTTGTCCTTATATTCCACATGTGAGTGAAACAGTTCAGCATTTGCTTTCACCTTCTAACTTATTTCATTTAATATAATCTCCAGCTTCATCCATAGAAGGATGTACTATAAGGTTCTATTTATTTTTAATGACTGAGTACTATTCTATGGTGTATGTGTACAACATATTATTTACTCATCTGTGGCTACTCACTTAGGCTGTTTCCATAACTTGACTAGTATAAATAGTGCTGCAATGAAAATAGAAGTGCATATGTTGATTCAAAGTAGTGATTTTTATTCTTTAGGTAGATGCTTAGGAATGGAATGCTGGATTATTTAGTAGATCTATTTTTAATGTTTTGAGAAACTACCATCCTGTTTTCCACAGGAGCTGGACACTTTCATTTGATCCACATCCTAGATGACACTCGTTGGTTCTGGTCTTTTTGATATGGTAGCTCATTGTGGTTTTGATTTGCATTTCCATGATAGTACTGAGGATAAGGAATATTTTTTCATGTGCATATTTTCTTTGGAGAAGTATCTGTTTAGATCTTTCGCTGAGTTTTTGATTGGTTTATATGCTTTTTTGTTAAGTTTTATGAGTTCTTTTTAGATTTTAGGTGGAATTTCCATGATGGATGTCTGATGTGCAAATATTCTGAACAACTTTCAGCTTATAATTGGACTGCCTCAGCAGCATAAGGCCTGCCTGCCCTGACAAGCAAGCACTGCACCAGGGTGAAAAATTCCCCTGAAGTCAAGTGACTTGACTACTGACTGATAAATAAAAGCAAAAGGGCTGTTTTTGCAAAGTCTCTCTCACTGCCGGATGGAGGGTAACCCGAATCTTATCATTCTATTATCTCACCTAGCCTTCTATTCAGCTTTTTAAAGAATTACTCAAACTTCCTATTGTTTGGCCTTTAGATGTGGAAATTCATCCAGCTTGTCTGTTCTTAAACTAGTTTTCTACCTGCTACACCTTAAAGGAATCCACAAAAGTCTTCTGGCTAGTTTTTCAGGATTCTACTATGTAGTCTTTAGATAAGGAAATCCACCTATGTCTCCTATTCAGAGATTTGATTAACAAGGAATTTCCTCTTCTGCCTCCCAGGATGACTCAGGCAGAAAATCAAAAACCCGTTAAGTAGTAGATAAGGTTTAAGGGGCTTCTATCTTAGTTGATCTCCACTATAATAATATTAGTCATAAACTTTGTGTACCTATATACCTGTTTTTAACCTTGATTGATTTTGGAATGTTATATCTCAGCTAAAGGGCAATATTACCCTAAACTGTTCTTAGAAAAAACAAAGATGATTGTAATCTCTCAGCTCAGTTCCTGTGCTGATGTCATCCCACTGCTTGCTCCTAATGTATAAAATAAACCTCTGCTGAAGGCAGAGCAGGGAGACTTGCATCCAACTCCAACTCCCGTGTCTTCCTCGCTCCCCTTCCCCCTTTTTCTCCTTCTCCCCTTTTTAGGAATCTCCACTCGCTGATGCCTTCCCACCTTAGGGTCCTGCCTGTCTTGCCTCCAGACACCTCAATAGTTGGAGCTGGTCTCCGACATTAGTGCTGTGCTTTAACCTGCTATGCCACCAGGGAGGGCCATCATCTTAATCTTCATTAACTTGTTGACACTTGTTCTATGACCCAACATGTGGTCTATCTTCAAGAATGTTGTATGTATCCTTGAGAAGAATGTGTGTTGATCTATTTTTGGGTAAATTACCTTTTACATGTCTTTAAACAAAACTGATCTAATTCTCACTTAATACTATTGTTTCCTTATTTGATTTTATATCTCATTGATCTGTCCTTTGATGAAGTGAAGAGTTAAATTCCTCTATTATTGTTGTATAGTTGGCAGTGTTTGTTTTTAAGTTTTTAAACTGTTCTATGTATTTTGATATACCTTCCTTTAGTGTCTATGTATTGATGAATGCTATATCTTCCTGATATATCGATACCTTAATGAATCCATTCTTGTTTCCTCTTACTTTTTTTAAAGCTGGAAGTCAATGTTATCTGATAAAATTATGGCTGACTCTGCCTTTAAAAAAAAATTGTTTATGCATACAGAACTGGGGTGTAGGCCAGAGATGCAGGGGCAGTGAGAGGATTCACCAGAGACAGAGTCGGGAACAGAACAGGCAGATCTAGTGAAATACCCTGCTGAGGGGAGCAGCGGGCAAGTCAGGAGAGATCTGCCGTACCACGTGGATCACCTCTGGGGCAGGGATCGAACTCATGTTGAAGTGGCTTTAGCTTCTTAGTGCTGTGCTTTAACCTGTGGTGCCACCAGGGAGAGCCTTGCCTCTGCCTTTTAAAGGAGTTTTTTTACTTCTAAAATTGTTTTCCAGAAATTTACCTTGAACTTATGTTTTTCTTTAAAGTCTATGTGTTCTTTCCTATAGACTACAGGATGCTGATATTGAGTTTTATTTATTGACATAACCATCCACTCTGTATCTTTTGATTTGTTAGTTCAGGCTTCTGACATTTAAAGAAATAACTGACACAGAAGTATTTCTTGCCATTTTCTTATTGTTATTCTCATTGCTACTGAAGTTTTTATCTGTTCCTTTTCCTCTCTTGTTATCAGTTCTCATATTTTGAAAGTTACCTTTTGTCTATTGTTTGGACTCCATTTTCATCTTCTTTGTTTCTCCTCGGTGTTTTTCTGAGGTTACCATGTGATTTTCATAGAGGGGTCTATACTTATTACCTCTTTTAAATTTAAAACAAGTGAATCTTTAGCTATCAACACCATTTTGGTTTTTTTAAACCCAGCTTTAATCTCCCTCTCCCCCAATATTTTAAGTTTCGGGACTCTTTGTTTCTAAGTCTTCTAAGTGAGGTTCTTTTTGTTTTGTAGCAGTTCCTTTTATGTCTGATTTGTTGTACTATATATTACTGCAACTGTCTTTTGTCTGTGAAGCTCTTAATTGCTTCTTTTGTGCTGATGTTATCTTAACTGGGTAGAGGATTCTTGGTTGGAGGTCTTTTTTATCTTAGCATTTGAATATGTAACTGGAGTATTGTTTATTACACATTTGTTTAGTCTGATCTGTAAAGTTACTGCTGAGAGAGCCACTGATAGTCTTATGGTGGGTTCTCTTATATTTGACTATGTTTTTCTCTAGCATTTAGTTTCTCTTGCTCTTTTTTTTTTTAAAGTTTTATTTACTTATGCATACAGAACTGGGGTATAAGCCGGAGGTATAGGGGCAGTGAGAGGCAGAGTGGGGGGCAGGATAGGCAGATTGATGAAGTACACTGCTGAGGGGAGAGGCAGGTGGGTCAGGAGAGGTCTGCCATGCCATGTAGATCACCTCTGGGGGCCAGGAATCAAACTCGCACTGAAGCAGCTGTGGCTAGCTTGCAGTGCTGTGTCCCAACCTGTTGCACCACCAGGGAGGGCCTCGCTCTCTTTTTCATTATAAGCAACA